CATTGATGTTAAAGTGTATTATGTGCTGTAGGTAGTTAAAAATAATACAGTATAATTTTATTTATTTATTTATTTTTTAAAAGTTTCTTGGGTCTTAAAAAGGAGGGATAAAGTACTGTAAGAAATTTCAATATAAACAGGATGCTGACAGAATTAAGGCATAAAAACACTCCCACACGTCATAATACATGTTACACTGACAGATTATATTATAGACCATGATATGTGCAGCACAAACAGTTTACTGCAGTGCCTCTGCTTTCACTTAATCTCCTCACAGTATCTATAGCTTAAGTGTATCCATCTCTACTGGAATGTGATTTTTTTTTCTAACTGCTGTAAAGGAGCTTTCACGGGGCATGAAATCCACCCGAGCCTCCATTCATCCAGCCGAGCGTCACTCTGTCTCTCTCAATCAGTCAGTTCAGGGTGTGAGCCACGCTAAACTTGCCCTACTAACCACAAGCCCACCCCCACTCCACTCTTCAGCCCGTTTGCACTCACAAGATGAGTCAGTGTCAAGAGTGTCTGCCCTCCCAAGGCATGCTCTCTTCCAGTAGAGTGGAAGTGGTTGGAGGCTTGTGGGAGCAGATTACACTCTGGGGGCCTGCAGACTCTTCCTGGTGCTTATAACTGGCTTGCTCGGTGTTAGCATGACACACAGTAACAGCTTAGACAAGAAGATACGCCCACCGTGAGAGAGGGAGAGCGATCCATAGACCTCGCTGTCAGCACTTTTTATCTGGATTTCTTTTGGTCTGTTCTTTTCTGCATGTTGCTGCTGTATCTTTCAATTTGAGCACCGCAAACAAACTTCCACCCCCCCGCCATTATAGTGGGGTGGCGGCAGAAATCTCTGAAACAAGCGTCTGGAAACCCGAGTACACAACACGGCATCTATCGGGTGAACTGAACCTTAAAATGTCATCATGTAAATACAGAGCAGGGCCTATTTCCGAGCTTAGTGCTATGGATTGCGTGATTGTGTGTGCCCCTCATGCAGAAGGAAATAATGGAGAGAGGAAGCTAATTTCCCTGGATGACAGAAATAATTTGAGCTGTCATGAGCAAGGACGTACACCGAAAAGAATTGTCATTTAACCAAACAAAGCAAATGAGTGGGATGCGCTGAAATTACAATGATACAAAATTGCAGCATTGATAAGAAAGGAGAAGGAAAAAAAAGTATTTAGTGCCTGGGGGAAGCAATCGGTAATCGAAGCTCTGTGTAAAGTAATAAACAGTTTTACAAGAGAAGTTTGGGTAACCTCAAATGCCCAAAGCACCAATAGACTAAAACTCTGTAAGCCTGAGGACATCGAAGCTGAGTTCAGCAACTAGTTTTCCACCTGTGCAGCAGAGCTTGCAGATCAAATATCTGCCTTCTTGATAAGAATATTGTAATTTATGCAAAATGCTGCTTTTAGTTTGAAAGCAGATAAATAACCTGATTAGAATAAAAGTCAAGAAGATGACTAGTCTAGACAGAATCCCACGAGGCAACCTTTGCTTGTAGAAATTACTCTTAGATACATCTGCAACAGCAAATAGAGTTTGAGAGAAACACAATAAAGGTTTGACTCGGTTATTCAGAGGTCTTTCTCATATGAAGAAACACGTGGTTAACCATCAATGGGTTAAATGCGCACCACCAGGGTTTGGTTAGAGTTAGCTACTGGTGCTGTTCATTCGGCTAAGGAGTGCTCCAGGAATGAGTCCTAAAACCTGGAAATGAGTTAGCATTTTAGCACTCCCTGTTTCCGTGTCTTGAAGTCAGTGTCTTTTCTTAAAGGGTTTTTTTGTTTAACGCATGAAAAAAGGTCTGTGGTTAACACGAGGCGGTCACGTTATGTTCTACGACATATAAATCATCAGTAAATACCCCACTCGTGTGGTGCCTTGTTGTGGTGTCAACCGTGGTGTAGTTTGTTTATAGTAGTTTGTTAGCTTTTTACTTCTGGCAATTGCATTTAGGCTTCAAAATTCATAAAAGTGATGTTAATCCATGTGGATGAGTTTATTTATTTTGTTTATTTATTGAGTTTATTTTCTGCAATAATCCAAAGTCCAATGCAAAAATCCCATCGGCTTGAGTGAAATGGGGTGACACCAACTTCAGCGTCAGCCTACAGAAAAAACCATCATCCCAGGAGCACTTTATTACCACTACTAATGTCATCCCGACAGTGTTGCTGTAGAAACGGTCCCTCTTCAACATTCTTAGTCCCCTGGTAATGTTAACTATGTCAGCAGTGTCAGCAAGGCTAGTGATGCTAACATAGCAGCCTAACAATACTAGAGGGGTTTCATGGCTCAAAATGAACGCACTTATTCATCGCACTTTGGTGGAGACTGGAGAGTGTAAACCATGTTTCTACAGCAACGCTGTCCTGCCACCAGGAAGGCATTACCAACGGTAATCACCCAGTGTTACCGCATGTTAACTTGGCTAGCTGATTGTCTGTCAGCGCCAACAAAAAATATAATAAAGGCAAGACATATACATCACAAAACATTGAAATTTTATCACCTCTAAATGGATAGTGCTTTGAAATGCAGCGCTAAAGCTCACTGAGTCAATGGAGCGTGGGCTGAAAGAAATATCCTATTTTGCATATTTTTTTCTTGAAAATGAAATGGTAAGTCATGAGAATGAAATTGCTAGTCACCGGTTAATGGGTGTCAGGCTATCAAAAGCTGCATCAACTAAAACTGACATCCCTAGTTTTAATCCTGCCAATAAAGGATTCAGCCCCTTGGTTCATAATTGGCCTGTCCAAACTAGACAAATGTATTTATGATGTGCCACAGGGAAATGTACTTGGACCTTTATAGTTCTGCATATATTACAAAATAAATGACCTTCCAGGGGAGTATACTACGTGCAAAATCCATATGTATAGAGATGACACAGCTCTTTAATATTCACTGAGTAGGCAGGAGGGCCACAGTCCAGTCAAATCCAGGTCACAGCAGGTTGGGTATTTGGAAAAAATACAGAGATGAGAGGCAGGCAGATTAATGATTGATAAAAAAT